TGCGCACTGAGGACGGCCAGCGGATAGTCGGTGAGCGCTTGGGCCGGGTATCGCTTCCGATCGTCCCGAAACGAATGCAAGTTGTGGCATTCCACCAATTATACTACACGTACGCCGTTGATAGTTGGGTCGCTGGAGTGCCTGCCCGCATTGACTTTCTCCCGATTTTCATTGCCGGAAAAACCTTGATGAATGACTCCATGGTCACACTTTAAATTGCCCTCCCCCCGCCCCTCTCTCTCTCCCACGTAGGATTGATCATTCCGGCCAACTGCGTGTCGCCGCTAATACACAAGCTGTCCACGTCGGACCAGTTCCAGCAGCTGGCTGTGCTGGAGCAGCACAAGAGGCAGCAGCTTCACCCCCAAAGTCTGAGCCACGCGCCCAACACATAGTGGCGCCAAAGCAGACTGGTGTACATACAAAAGAACTGTTTCAGGGTTGTTGTTGTTATTTTGTTTTGTTTTTTTTATTATTATTATTCTCTTTTAATTTGGAAGACTTGCCATCACCCCTTCTTCCGACGGGGGTGATGTTTTTCGTCCTCTGACATTCAGAGTGGAAGATGCACGATGACCCACCCTCCCCCCTTCCCGGCAACACTTGAAACTGACCGCTACGTTACAATCCAATAATAAACCCTTCAGACTTTCACTTTCATCCTTGTTTCATTTCCCGCAATTCTCACGAGGGATCGTTCGCTTGATACTTAGTGCTCAAAGTTTTGAGATCTTGGCCTGCTCGGGGAAATTTTTGGACTGACCTAAAATCAAATGTCATTTTTAGGGGTGAACTTAATTTGACCTCTAAACTTTTAAATGCACATCTCCAACTTAAAGTTTGCAATACCTTTGACACAATTTGAACCACTTCTTGCGTTTTACCGTCTGGCACCTTTGCATAGAGGCTGGAAAGAAGTAGGTCTTACATTTTCACCGCTGTTTTAAATGTCGTACATCTTCAGGTCAGTACAGCAAATTGTGCAAAAAGTCCCAACACATGAGACGGGTGGACATTCAGTCGTGAAAATGAGGTCAAATAAAGTTCATTTGGTCAGAATGTTCTTTTCTCCCACCACTGTCTGCTAGCGGGGAAATAAATCAAGTGTTCTTGGTTCAGAGATGATAGTAGGACTCTCGCAAATGTTGATTTTTGTACATTTTTTACAAAAAAAAAATGCAAATGGGAAAACTCATTCATTGTTTTAGTGGTGTCAAAATACTAATTTAATAAGTAAAATGAAATGTTCTAGAGTCAAAATTGGATCCAACTTTTTGGGCATCCACTAAAAATGTTCATGATTCTAATTTAAGGTTTCATCATCTATTGAAAGAAAACATTTCATGTGGTCAAACCAGAAGATTTTGGCATTACTAATAAAATACTTCATAGCAAGTGGAACTCACTGTTTTACTGTAGTCAAAATTGGGTCACCTATACGATCTTGACATGTACTAAAAAATGTTCGAGCTATGTCAAGTGTAGTTCAATATTTACTGCATGGGCTACGAAAAATACTTTGTACTTCCACTACTAAAAAAATGTTAATTTCATCATAAATGCTAAATTGGATTAGGTGTAATTCACTTTGTTGACCTGGAGTCAAATAGGGCAAACCATACGATTTTGGCGTTTAGTGTAAAGTGTGTTTCATGATAAATGTTGATTCGATTAATTCACTATTTTACTGGTGTCAAAATTGGGTCAAACCATTTGTATACGAGACAGAGGTGGACACCAATATAATTATTTCACCCCAAAAGTGATTAGTCAGAAATGTATTCATCCACCGGTGTCTCTTGATTAGATTATGAAAACAGAAAAAAATAAATCATATCAAACAATATTGAGGGGGGACAAACAAAGCCAACTCGAAAGTGACGTCAAAATACTTGAAATTGCTTCTTAAGTCGCCTAAAGTGACCCAAAAGCGCGGCTCAACTTTGCTCTAAAATGTGCTTCGGATTCCGGTCAAACGTGCCGCTTTTGCCCGACAAAAGTGTGCCTTTTCGGGGCTTTTCTTTCGCCGGGGCTCGGAGCTCGCCTAGTCGGCTGGCTGGGTGTCAACATCCAGTGACGGCCATGTTTGCCGGCGCCGCCGTAAACAACAAAAAAAGTGGGAGACAGACGCCTCGCTGAATGTCGGGTCATTTGGATTTCTTTCATTTACAATGTCTCTGGGAATGTCTTACAAGCCCAATGCCCACCAGCACACTCCGGGAACTTCAGGGAACCAGGGTGAGCACAAAACGTCCAAGGGGGTCCCGGCGTGTAGCGGTTAAATCGTCGCTTAAATTCGGGGGGGTTCTCGGAGAATACCTGAAGAGAAAGCCCCGTGTGTGTGCGTGGAGTTTTTTTTTTTTTGTCCGGTTACATATGTCGGGTCACATCCTGGGAGCTAGGCTAATTCGTAGCCGCCATTATTACGAATGTCGAGAACGGTGAGGGGGAAATAAACTCGGCGGACGCTGACTCGACCGGGACAAAGGCGGCGGCGGTGTCTCGCGCGACGTTCACCGGCGTCCGGGGTCGCGCTCCCGGCCCGGGTGGGCGCCGTTTAGGCGGCGACCGTTAAAATGTAGCGGTCGTGTCTCGTCGAGGAAGCCTCGCTCCGCTTCCTCCTTCCATGATGCTCCCCGGCTACGAGCTGCTTGATTGATCCTCGCCGACGTGAGGCGCCTCTTTGCGGACATCTGCTGACCGAGTTCCGCTACTGCAACCTTATACAGTGGTACAGTACTTGCAACTACACTCCCCAAAAGTCCTTTGCTTGCCAAGTACTGTACCACGTTATTAACCAACATTAAAATACTGTAACTTAGGCCTACGTGTTCTTTAAAAACGAGGCATTTTTCCCCCGTTAAAAGTACATGTAATAATAATATTGTCAGCCATTGTAACATTATGCACTTTGAACATAAGCACTGCGCTTAAATATAGCAAAAGACAAAAACAATTGACAAATATTTAACGTGTTTTGCACATACACGTTAAATAAAACATGCACGCGAATGAATAATTAAAAACAAACAATTTAAATTCAAATGTTTGGAATGTAAAAGTTAAACACTACCGAGGTGTTCTCAAGCAGTGTGTTTTTACTTGTACCACTAGAGGGAGCTCATATACCGCCAGTGGTACGATTACGACACTGAGAATCACAATTTCTCAAACACTTATACTGTACTTTCTTTTAGCATAAAAATCGAACTTTATTAACATGAAAAATGTTATAATGTATACATCTCATTATTTTCAACAGTTGGCAGTCTCCAGTCAGCAGCCAACCTGGGCCCGTTGCAGTCCTACAGGCCTCTGCTGAGTGACTATGGACCACCTTCTCTGGGATTCTCACAGGTTACACCAACACGCAACCTCTTTCTTCCTAATTTCCCCAAATTCGTTGGATAGGTGTGGCAAAACATACCGCGGTCTGGGTCTAAACTGAAAGTGAATTTTCCTACTGGAATTATGTTGGCATTCTGAATCGTGTCCACTTTTCTCATTGCTTTAGTTTCACATTTTTCTCGATTGACTTCTGCAGGGCTTGACTGGCAGCCAAGTGCCTCAAAACAAATATGCCGAGCTGCTGGCCATTATTGAGGAGCTGGGCAAGGAGATCCGACCCACGTACGCTGGCAGTAAGAGCGCCATGGAGAGGCTCAAAAGAGGTCTTTTTTTTGTTTTGTTTATTTATTTATTTCGTAATTGTTGGCTAAGTAGTTAACTAAAAGTCCACTAGAAATCTCTATGTAGCGATGAAAGTGAAGTGTGTCTGAATTCATACCTACGGGTATCGTGACGTTATGATGTCATTGGTTTTCTCCTCTTTGTTCTTGTTGGCAGGCATCATCCACGCCCGCGGCCTGGTGCGCGAGTGCTTGGCGGAGACGGAGAGGAACGCCAGGTCCTAGTGACAATCACACATTCCGTGCAAGGAGACTTCACAATGCGTGTCTTGAAACAAAAGAAAAGGAAAAAAAACAATCACCCAAAATTGAACTTGCATGTCATTTTCCAAGTGGAGGGAGACAGACTGTCTCCATCTTGTACTAATGAGTCAAACTCTCAGCTTGTTTCCCCGTGCCCACTTTTGGGGAACTTAAATTTCCTGGGTTTTTTTTTTCCCGATATAATTTTTGCATGCAAAAAGGATAAAAGTGTAGACACCACATGTCTTGTACAGAGGTTAGACTTCTTTTTGATATGAGTGAGTGCGTGTCAATTCATTCGTGTTCGGGTTGCTTTTGTTATCAAAATGAAAATGCTGTTACTTGCATCTTTGTATGTATTTATTACACCGTGTAATAAATTGTATTTTCAATATAGTTGTCCTGGTCACTCCTTCTCTTTTGCTTTCTGAGCCAGAAAGCTACAGAATGAGACTGGGATGTTTGGTGAGGGAAATGGAGTTTCAATCAACCCAACATGCATGTTTTCAGAAAGGGAGGAAGCTAAATTCACACAGTAAGACCCTAACCGAAATTTGAACACCAAAACTCAAAATGAGACAAAAATGAAAACCTTACACCGTGCTGCCGAACTTCAATTGTCGATTTCCTCTCCCCTAACAGCCAATGCGAAAATCAGTCGACACAGTCCACCAATCACATACCAAGATGTAATGACGCAATGTTACGTCAATTTCAGCAGCCAATGAGCGCCTGCCTAGCATCTCCCTGACAAATATGGATGACAGGACAACGCGAGTAAACGGGTAAGGTGAACTCATGTGGTGGGTACTATATCGACCCTTCTATTTGAGTAACTAATAATCTTGCTAACGGCGTTACGGTTCCTTCAAATGCGTTTCAACCGAGCTTGTTAATCAGCTAGCGTAACCCGCCAGTGTGGCCTGAAGAGAGACTAGTCAGCTAGCCCTTAGCACGCTAGCGCAGCCCGCCGAGCTCAAGTTAACCACAACAAGCTCGCGACGTCATCCGACGTTGGGGACCCAATCTGGCGCGTGGCGTCCCGGGGTGACGTCTGCACCGTCTACAGCTGGCGAGATGACGCTTTTCCGCAGTCACCGCTTCATCCAAGCTCATAATAATACACCAGTTGCAAGAGCTATGTCACTAAAGCACTAAGCATCCCATTAATAATGGTCAAAGGTTTCAGTCAACAAAGAAAATTGCTTCCAAAGCTGTGTTGGACAAGTACAAAAGGAAGCAGAAAAGTAGTTTCAAGGATAGGAAGAAAGGATGCAAAGTAAAACGCATGTCCAAGGGAACGAATGAAAGAAGAATTAAAAACAACATGAAAATCCTTCATAATGGCTTGATGATTTGTTTTGCGTAACAGCGTGGCGCACGCATCCATTTTGTTTTTTCCCCTTGTTTTGTAGCTGTCAGAGTTCCGCCCACCTCTGCACGGGCCCTTAAACATGTCCACAGATGACAGCGTCTCTGAGGACGTGTCTAGCTCGGGGCCCCACAGTCTCTGCCGGGCCGGTGGTGGCGGCAAGGAGAGCGAGGCGTCTCCGCTGTCCTCCGAGGCCACCACGGCATCTGGGCTTGGGGTCTCTGAGGGCAGGCGTTCGGACTCCCAGACCACAGGGGGCACTGTGGCCAACCAGACCGTCAAGGGCACTGCGCCGTGCAATAAAATCAGGTGCGGCGTTTGGCCTCTTTGGCGGCTTCTCTGTGTAATTTGGTAAACACATTGATGATGAACAGACTCACAAAAGCGTCCCAAAACCTATGCCTGAAAAGACACGTGAAGTCAGCCATTTTGTCCGTTTCCCGGGTCCCCTTAGATTTATGTGAAAATTCAGTCCCCAAAACCAGTTTTGACCAACCACGTCAGATGTGGACGGTCAGTCGATCTTGAGTAGAGCACAACAAAAGTCACAAGGAAGCACAGCTGAAAAGACGCACCAAGCCTGCTGTTTTGGTTTGAAGCAGTGCTTTCATGTCGCAAAGTGGAACTGGCTTTGGGGCCTGAATTTTCCAAAACAAGCCAACCCCAGTCAGATGTTGGAGTGCAGAAGCAAAGTATCTGGCGCGTTTCAGGGGTCTTTGTCTGAGCCCTGAGGATGACGCATTCGTTCCGAGCAAGAACCTCCCGTTCATCAACCCGAGCTCCCTGGAGACCCTTCGAGCCCTGGTGGAGGAGATTCGCAGCAGTGGCGAGACGGACCCGCAGCTGTGGAAGGACTGCGAGGTGCGACAGCGCGAGCCCGCTTATCCCTCCATTAAAACCAACAGCTGGTCGAGCGCAGTGGTTGAAAACCTTTCCCCCCCACCCCCCCGCTGACCTCAGGGCCGATGGCTGCATCTGTTTCAGCTGGTGGAGAAGCAATATCAGGAGCAAATCCTTGCGCAGCAAGAACAGTACCAGTGCCAAATCCAGGTACCCCTTCACCCAGACCCTCCCGTCGGCATTTACGTTACCAAGATTCATGTCATATTTGCGACATGAATGGAAATTTGCCCTCATTCAAATGTATTGCTATTCATTCAACTTTGGTATTCAAGTTGATTCAAGACGAGATCAAGGCGCTGGTGCAGCTCCAGAACCGGCCGCTCCATGCGGACTTCACCCACAGCGCCGCCATCCAAACCAGCGAGGACACCAGCAAGGACTCGCTCTTGCCGCTCATGGCCGGCGACTGCGCATTGACCACTCGCGCGCCCAGCGACAGTGACAGCCTGGCCGCCCCCGCCGCCCTCTCCCCGTTCGGCTCCCCCTCGCCGCCGCACAGGCCCGACGGCGCCGATGAGCGGGCCGCCACGGGGCTCAGCAGCGGCTACGGCACGCTGTCCGCCTGGGAGTCGGGAGAGACGCAAGAGCCCCGCTGGTCCCGAGACGCCCGTGCCGCTCCCGCGGCGCAGGACCATGCCAAGGCTCGGGACGAGGCGGAGTCGTCAGCAGCCCGCCAGCGCACAACCTCAGGGTGGGCTAAGCCATCATTTAAAAAAATAGTAGTGCCTTTGACTTTGTCCAAACTTTGACTTTTGCGCTTTTTGTCCAGTCAGGGTCTGACCTCCTGGGCTTTGAGGCAGAAATTGCGAGCCAAGAAGATCAAGACGGGAGCCTCCCAAATTCCCGAGTACGAGGAGCTGCCGCGCAGCCTGGGCGAGTCGGGCCCCGGCCCGCCGGAGAGCGCCGACTCCCGCCGTCCAGCCGCCGCTTTGCCCTCGGCCTCTTTTGCGATGCGGAGGAGCGACAGCCTTTTGTCTGAGGCCTCAGGTGACATGTTGTGGAGATCAGGGCTTCGCCTACTTTTCCAAGGAGCCGCACCTCCTCATGCCTCTGAGTAAAACAGACCACCCGTGCATACACCAAATCAAGTTGAAAGTGACATTTAATGAGGGAAGACTAGAATTTTTTTAACAGGCGGATCTAATCAAATACATCCTCGTTGTCATAATATTACGCCTTTTATTGTGAAAAATGCTACGCCTATTCTCTAAAAAAGGGCTATTTTTAAATAATACGCTCAAAGAAGCCGTCACTGTTGTCCCGTTCCTCTCAGGGCTGACCTACTGGCGTCTGAATGAGTGCGACCTCTATCACCGTCTGCCCGACACCCTCGACGCCAACGACAGCGGCGCCGCTTTCTTCCTGCAAGAAGCTCCCGCCCATCAGGTGACCCAAGCCTTGCCATCCGGAAGGCTCTTTGAGCCAATCGGAACCCGAAGAAAGGCAATTTGCCAAATGGCGCCACGGTCAATGACACAGGGTCGAAACAAATTTCAAGGCACTGTGTTTAACACTGTAAATTGGGTCAAAACATGCAAAATAACGATGTTTAAAAAATGTTTTAATACGACCGGAAAAAGTCAAAATGTCCTTTGTCCCAAGTCTGAAACCAAAATAAAAAAAAAAAAAAAATCATGCTCTCATGCAGGCCGAGGACCTTGGTGTTTCTCTGCGAGAGCTCTACCATCACAAACGCAGGAAAAATTCCTTTTTCCCAAAGTCTAAACCAAAAAAAAAAAAAAAAAAAAATCATGCTCTCATGCAGGCCGAGGACCTTGGTGTTTCTCTGCGAGAGCTCTACCATCACAAACGCAGGGCGGACGTCAAACGTGGCGAGTGGGAACGCTCCGGGACTTCCACTCCGTTGTCTCTGCGGGTCGGTCACACGAAACTGCTCCTCTCCGTTTCCGACTTTTTGGCTGTTGCTCTTTCACTTTGGGATTCCACTTTTGCAGCCACTGCTCGTGGAGGCATCGCAGCCTTCCTCTATGACGCCTCTTAGTCTAGACGGCGTCTCCGACGCATCGCAGGAAGTCCCGTCGTCCATCCCGCGGACGAGGATCGGCGAGGAGGAGGAGGTCACACGCGCCCGCAGTTCCACTCTGAGGCCTGGTTCTGGTTCCCTCGAAGATCCCGTCATCCTCTCCCTGTGAGTACGAACTGGAGCCAGGGAGCTTCATGTGTTCTGATTATACGAGTGACAAAGTTGCAACGGATAACATTGGTGAAAATACCTTGGTTGTGTCATGGAACTTCAAGTACGGATCCGCCCCCCCACCCCTTGATATCACATCTGCTCCTGTCCAGGCTGCGACAGAACTTGAGAGAGAAGCACTCACGACACGTGGCTGACCTGAAGGCGTATTACGAGTACGAGATTCAAGTCCTGCGAGACAAGTTGGAGCTCCAAGATCCCCCCGGAGACCTGGAGAGGAGCAACCGGATGCTCTCAGACAGGTCTGTATGCTTCGGGGAAAAAATCCGTCGCCGTGTCTATCATGAGTAGACCCTCAAGAAAGTCTCGAGAAGTCACGCGTGAAAAGACCGGAAGGTCGGTCGTTTTGCTTGGAAGCGACCATTTTAGGGTGAACGGCACCCCGAGGCCCAGTTCTAGCCACTTGGAGCGGAGGCCGAGACCCGCAAAATTGTCTCAAGGAAGTCTGCCATTTTGAGTTCAAGCAAACAAGCAGGTGGTTATTTTGGAACGTTTGCAGGAGTCCAAGCTTTAGTCGGGTACATACTGAGTTTCAACCAAATAGAGCAGGTGACAAACTGGAGTCTTCCTAACGTTTGAATCTTTCTATTTTTACACTTTCCAGGTGTCAGCATCTGGAGAAAGCTCTGGCTGAAGCGGGGAGATGCATCGACCGGCTGGAGGAAACCAATGCCGCGCTGGAGAAACGGCTGGTAATCGCCTCGTCAGCATTCGGACAGCATATTTTGCACCGAGAAAACCTGGAAAAGAACATCTCCCTGTTGGCGAGATACGACACCGACGGCCATTAGCGACACCGACGGCCATTAGCGTATCCTCGCAGCGAACGCCAATGAAAGCAGGAATATATCTGAACGCGTCTCGGATCCCACTTGCAGGCCGAGTGGCCCGAGCGCTACGCGGTGGCGGGCGCCACCGTCAAGTCGCTGCGTCAGCGTCTGGAGGACGGCAAGCGCTCGGCCAAGGAGAAGGCGGCGGCCGTGACCAAGGCTCGACGGCAAATTGACGACAGCGAGGCCAGGAGGGAACGGGAGGTCCAGGCCAAGAAAGAGGCGAGGCCCACTCACCAATGTTTGGGGCTTTTGTTTTTTTTTTTTTGTTTTTTTTTTTTTAATGGTTTGTCTTTCCCCCCTTGCAGCTTCTTGCACAATACAACTGTGTGCTGAAGGAAAACGACAAACTAAAGGTAAGCGACGTCATCATTTGTGTCGGAAACAGATCGAAAAATGTATTGACAGTTTTTGATCCAAGTGTCACACTACAAGACAAGATGGGATTTATTCCAATACTATGGTCCTTTGCCAGTTATTTTGTTTTTCACCGATATCACATGACTTCAGTCCATGTTATGAAAGGTCCTAGATACAAATTAAATTGTGTATTTAAAGATAATGCAAAACCGTTTTTATTGGCCGTGGTGACTGCTGATCTTTGTTTTTCCTGACTTTTTTTGACAGAGCAACTTGCTGTCAACGGAGGACAAACTTTACCAAGCCAACGATTCCATTTCAGACTTAAAAAGGTGATCGTTCATTCTGACTAAAATACATATTTCGTTTTTTAAAAGATGGTATCATCTCCATTCAGAACCATTTCTAAGCTGGAGTCTCAAGTACGGCAGTTGGAGCATGAGCACCAGGCCAGGGTCCGCCACACTCCCCACGCCGCCCCCCAGCCGTCCGGAGCCGGGTGAGCCAGCGGCTAGCTATGCCGACATAGCCGTCTCCACCTTTCCTCGTGGAGGAGCGCCACCGTGACGTCTTCAACATATCTCGCAGTCTCTTCCACCATCCTGACCTCCTGCGCTCACCCAGCAGTGGCAATGCAGAGCCGGACGTCACCTGCCGGAGGTCACCCCGTCTGGAAGTCCAACAGCCGACGCCCGCTGCAAAGTCTGCCTTCCCTTCCGAAACTTTGATACTACCAATTGTATAATAATGTTTGATAATACTGTACTAGCCTAGCGTCCCTGTAACTTGCAATTAGCATTCATGAGGTTTCCCTTACTCGAACAAAGGGGCAAGTAGTCTAATTCATATTTTCTTACTATGAATGCAATTTACATGTATGAGGCTTATAAATGTAACTCCGGACTCATTTGCATTGTGGTTCTGCAGGTGCACGGCCCCCCGAGACCCCGACCAAACGCCGTCCACATCCAGACTGCGGGAGGAGGGCACTGGCCTCTTGGCGCCCATCATGAGGGCGCTGATTGAGATGGAGGAGACGCGCGCCACCGAGACCAGAGCCCCCTGTAAGAACGTTTACATGTTTGCAAACAGCCCGCCTTTTTCACTCACCAATCACGCGTACGCTTGCTCACAGGGCTAACCAATCACAGGACATCACTTGGCGGCATCGGAGGTCCGCTAAGAAGTCAGAGGAGTTTGTCTCCGGACGGCCATCGGTCGTCCTCGCTTCCTCCGCCAGGACTACGGAGCGCCATTGCGACCACGCCCAGTACTGACTTGTGTTATTTTGTAGATTATCTTGATGTATAGTATGTACTATTTCTCGTCGGTCGAGTTATTTCTATCGGACGCATGCCGCAGAATTTCATCGACTCTGTGGCTTATTTCTCGGCTTTCGGTTAATTTCTTTTGTGTTCCCTGTCAGCCAAGAGAGAGACCTTACTTGCCCCATTGCCAGCCAAGGGCAGCCCTAAGCGCTGCCCCACCGAGAACTACTCCACCGCCTTTGGTCACATGATGCCTCGGGAGGAGCATCTCAGCAACAGGTCAGTTCTCTCTCTCTCTCTCTCTCTCTCTCTCTCTCTCTCTCTCTCTCTCTCTCTCTCTCTCTCTCTCATATAAAGCATGATTGCCAATTTCATCTTGCAGGTGTGACGCACATGCCGACCACACGAGGCGCCACTCGTTCCACAGCGGCAGTCCCAGGAAGAAACTGCACTTTGGATCAGCTGACCATCATGGTAAGAAAGTGGATCAAAATGGCAAAATATACTTGACGGGACTAAGGTTCTCCCCACGTGCAGCCGCTGCTGTCGTGTCAGAGCCCCCCATCTGTAGCGATGCACAGCTGCCATGTGAAGATGGAAGAGGATACCCGGAAGGATGCCCGGCCTCTGACAACAAAGCTCTGTCCTTGGTGGAGGCCGAAAGGCTTTTTGATGAGCTCACACAGGAGAAACTTGAGGCCAGTTTACCACATCGCCTCCACTGTCCGTTTGTCTGTGTGTGTTTGTGTGTGTGTGTCTTATCCGCTTTGTGTGTGCATGGTGCAGATCGAGGCATCTCTAAGCCGCATGCCGCCGTCGTCGTCAGGCGGACGAGTGAGCAGGAAGACCAGGCTGGACCAGGTGAGCAACACTTAGATGTTACATCGGTTGCACAAGCTCCTGGGTGGAGGTAATGTGTGTGTTTGTGTGTGTGTGTGTGTGTGTGTGTGTGTGTGTGTGTGTGTGTGTGTGTGTGTGTGTGTGCGTGCGTGCGTGCGTGCGTGCGTGCGTGCGTGCG